GAGTGCGTATTTTCATTATTATTATTATATGTTGCTCTCTACGAAAAAGCATTCCTTGGTCTTTACAATTTTCCGCATACAGCGATATCACAGCCATGGTCATCTTCACATTTTCATCGATATTTGTTTTGGTTTTTGTTTTTCTTGTGTAATGATTCATTTGTGTGTGTTGTGCCAGCACAATAAAGTATTTCGTCGAAGAAAACACATGTTCTCAAACATTTTTTATGTATTAATGTGTATGTAATTACTAAATAAGCGTAGATCAACGATGTAAACAATGGACCGACCTATGTTTTCCTCAGAGACCTGAATTTTTGTCTCAGAATTGTCTGACAACTTTCGTGGATACGGGTTCCTATATTATTTCTTCTTTTCCTTTTTTTTTTTTTTTTTTTTTTTTTTGTCTAAGGAAGTGCGCAAATTCTACAGTTTTTTTCAAGATCAAAATGATAATGAGCCTCCAATGCACGCCATCTAGTGATTGCAAACCGCACTACCAATTTGCATCGCCATCTAGTGATTGCAACCCCACNCAAATCTTTGTGTGTGTACATATGTCGGAGAAGTCTAGGATATCTTTATAGTATGTCGTCAGACAGCAAAGTTGCTGACATTGCTCAACGTCAGATCTTCTATGTCATACTCAACGAATATATAATACGATAAGATTCTACTGATTCTCAGTTGGTCAATTTAAATCACATTTTTACATCTATTATACATTGGAACCCTAACTGAGAATTTATATATATTTTCTGTCGATAAAACAATCAATATATATTTAAGCTCCATATACTTCATAATTTTGGTCTTACAAATAACACACACACACACACACACACACACACATATATATAAGCAGATTAAATGCAGAAGTGACACAGTCCTATGTGTTTCTTTTCGCTATTTCTTTTTAAATCCTTTAAGAAAAGGCCCTCAATAGAGTCATCTTCCTCCCTGGGCCTGTCCAGAGGATCTCGAAGCCAGTCCAGGGCCCCGGATTCACTAACGCACTTACGATGGTAAAATCACTGGTAACTATAGTTACCATGGTAAACAGACCGGTGGTATTCACTAACAACTTGCCATTGGAGTTACCATGGTAAATTTTATCAGTGGCCAGAGCACTGGTAACTTTTGGGAAGACGATGTCATCACGTGTTATCTCGTCAAAAAATCAATATCTAAGCAAAGTTTTAGGTTTGTTTTTACACCTGATGTAACTAATATGATGGCAAACAGATATCACAATGCGGGCATAGTGAAGAAATGCAAATTTCCCATGAATCTAGCAAGAATAAAATCCACACAAATTCTCGTGAACTTATAGGCCTACATTATACTAGAATGCATGGAACCGATAAATAAGTGAACTCTGAAATCTCTGACACAATTATTACAATTGCTATAGAAAAAAATACCTTGCTGATATATAAACTGGCAATGATGAAAGCATATAATTAAAAAGCTGTTTGGACTGTCTCTTTGGTTTGAGTTAGCAATGATATATAACAATGTTTGTATTGGTTCCTATCTATACAGTAAATATATATCCATGATGGATATAATAAAAAAATATATATATATTTTTTTTACATGTGCTTAAATAGTGTCTTAGCTCTGACGATTATTTAAACAATCTCGCTGTGTCTAGTTCTGTTTACATGTTACGTGATTGGCCGAATGAACCTAAAAGATTATGTATAGCGTTCGTTGATTGGTGGAATTGCTTTAGCAGAGCCCTCTGTTGGCTACCATTAGAATGAGTCGATTTACGATTGTAACTCAGCATATCCAAATTACCATTTCTTCGTGAATACCACTTTGCCATGACTGGTAAACGCAATGGTAAATGACCGCTGGTAAATGCGTTACGATCGTATGGACTGAGTGGGAGTCGGAAGAAGATTTCGTCAATATCAAGTCTGAAAAACTGAGCTACAGCCATGAGGACAGTGCCACTGCAGGCATCCTACACACTCACACACACATGTGTACGTGCGTATGAGTGTATTTGTATGTGTTTACAAATACACTCATATACATACATTTATATATATATATATATATATATATATATATATATATATATATATAGAGAGAGAGAGAGAGAGAGAGAGAGAGAGAGAGAGAGAGAGAGAGAGAGAGAGAGAATTATATATATGTGTGCATATATATATATATAATATATATATATATATATATATATATATATATATACACACATATATGTGTGTGTGTGTGTGTGTTATGTGTATATATGTGTGTTATGTGTGTATCATGTGTGTGTATTTGTGGGTGTGTATATGTGTGTGAGTGTTGTGTGAGTATGTGTGTGTGAGTGTGTGTGTGTGTATGTGTGTGTGTGTGTGTGTGTGTGTGTGTGTGTGTGTGTGTGTGTGTGTGTGTGTGTGTGTGTGTGTGTGTGTGTGTGTGTGTGTGTGTGTGTGTGTGTGTGTGTGTGTGTGTGTGTGTGTGCGTGTGTGTGTATAAGGGGTATTATTAAATGATTGCCCCCCCCCTCTTGCGCAGCATATACGAGAGAAGGTAAAAACATATGCTATTTTCCAAAATAATCTACTTCTATAATTATATTTGGCCACCCGTTGTCACGGTCTTTTATATTCTGGAAGATTCGGAAAAGGCGCGTCACCTGGATCGCATTCGTTCAGTGACACCCCAATCGGCTCGTGGTGAGGGAGCGGCTTTCATCACTCGTTCGTGGGTTGCTCTGAGGCTTCAAGAAGCTTTGAAACCGTGGCATGGTTGAGCTAAACCTCTAGTGACGGAGCTGAACATCGGGGATTTTGAAACTGCCTATGCGATTGGTTTTAGGATTTTCAGCCCTTGATGCAGTGACGAATCATTCGTTTACCTTACTCGGAAGACAAATTCTCAAGATGACGTTAAATGGTCAAAGACTCCTTATGAGATTCCCGACATAATTGTCGAATCCCTGGACCGGGTTGGTGTTCCTATTTTAGTCGATAAATTGATGTGGATCATCATATTGTATATATAAACTCCCAAATAAATTCCATAAACATCAATAGAAATGTCAATTATGTATCTCTTTTATCATAGCCTGAGAAAAGGGGAATATCATTCAGATATACCTATTATACACAGACAAACACATACACATGCACACATACAAATACATAAACACATACATATACACAAGCACACACACATACACACACACACATAAACGCGCACGCACACACACACACACACGCGCTCGCATGCACACACACACATACACACATACAAGCACACATACACATAACAACACACACATACACAAACACCCATACACACACACATTGCACATTCTCACAGACACATAAAGACATACACACGCACACACATACACATAGACATACAACATACATACACACACAGACAAACACATACACACATACACACACATGCATACACATACATACACACACATACACATACACTCAAATACACACACGCACACAAACACGCATACATACATACATACATATGCACACACATACACCCACCCACACATGCACACACATACATATTCTCACATACATACACACATGCTCACATATACACACACATACATACAAACACACACACATACACGCCCATACACACACACAAACACACATACACATACACACACATATATACATACACATAAAAACACACACATGTACACAGATAAACACACGTATACACACACACATACAAAATCACATACACACACACATACACAAATACACATACACACACACATACGCATGCACACAAACACACATACATATACACAAGCACACACACCCACACACGATAATACTCACAGGCACATAAACACACACACACACACATCCACATACAGCACACATACACACACAGACAAACACATATACACACACACATACATACACACACACACACATATACATACACACACATCCACACATACACATACACACACAAATATATACACACACATGCACACACTTACACACACACACATCTACACAAACACACACACACATACATATACACACACTCGCATACATACATACACATACATACACATGTGCAGTGTGTGTGTGTGTGTTCGTGTGTGTATGTGTGCGTGTGTGTATGTGTGCGTGTGTGTATGTGTGCGTGTGTGTATGTGTGTGTGTATGTGCGTGTGTATGTGTGCGTGTGTGTGTATGTGTGTGTGTGTGTGTGTGTGTGTGTGTGTGTGTGGGTGCGTGTGCGTGTGTGTGTGAGTGTGTGTGTGTGTGTGTGTGTGTGTGTGTGTGTGTGTGTGAGTGCGTGAGAGAGAGTGAGTGTGTGTGTGTGTGTGTGTGTGTGTGTGTGTGTGTGTGTGTGTGTGTGTGTGTGTGTGTGTGTGTGTGTGTGTGTGTGTGTGTGGTGTGTGAATATATATATATATATATATTATATATTATATATATTATATATATATATATATATATATATATAATATATATATATATAGGCATGTAGGTATATATTTATATATTATATTATATTATATTATATATATATATATATATATATATATATATATATATATATATATATATATATATGCATATTATTTATATATGTATATATAGATAGATATGTATATGCGTACATGTATATATATATAGAGAGAGATATGTATATACATATATCTATATCTTTATCTCTCTTTCTCTATCTATCTATATATATATGTATACCCACAAAATATATATATATTTCCCACACATCGCACACATTGCTGTCTTCATACAAAAAAAGAAAGAAATAATATAAAAATATACACATAAACGTGTGTTTTTTTTATATGGGCGTGTATTGTCAATATTTTCTTTCTTTCTTTTTCGTTTTCATTGTATGGAGACTTAATAACACAATGGCATTTTGAGAACACGCTTTTTTGTCAATTAGCACGACCTAGACACCGCTGACACAAATAATATTTTGAACAGACGGAACTTTGTATTTAC